TAGTCATCTCTTTAATGTACAGTAAAGCAGTTCTTAATATGGGAGACATTCCTTCAACTGTAACAAATTGTAAACCTGAAGAAGATACTTTAGTTTTTAGAAGTTAAATGTATCAGCATTTCATTTACTTGAAATTAAGAGGCCAACACATTTTATGCTTAGTAAGAAGCAATACCACAATAGAAAAAGTGAAAAAACAAACATCTGCTAATCACGCTCCATGCTGCTCTGACTCACTGGGAATGACGGGGGAACTACGTGAGGATGCTTTTTGCAGACTTTATTTCCACATTTAATACATTCCTCCCATATAGACTGGTGTCTAAACTTATAAATCTTGGATTGTCATATTCAATCTGTTCTTGGATTGTGAACTTCTTGCCTGGACATTTCCAGAGGGTTAGATTATTAGGTATTTCTTTATCGTGTCAGAAGCGAACTGAGGGTACAGTTGTAATGTATTTAAAAACACAAAGTTAAAAACTTAGCATTATACTAAATGTGCTTTGACCAGTAGCTGGCCACTTAGAGACTTCTGGTGTTGCTATAAGAAGGTCCTCCATTGTGCATGTAGCAGTGGCTCAGGCTGCATTGTAGTTAAGTGGTCTGTTGTTTGTTCTCCATACTCCATACTATACTTTGTGGCCCCATTTCTTAAGGTTGGCTCTACATCTTGTGGTGCCAGAACGCAGTCTGTTGAGCGTCTTCCAAGTCACCCTGTCTTCTGAGTTGTAACACATCCTGATGTCCCCTGGGCAACGTCTTTGTGGACAGCTGATTCTCTCTCACCCAAAGCAACTTGTAGCATGCAGCCAAACAAACAAGTTGCAGATTATTAGATAATCATACCTCTTTCGCTCTCACTCTCAACACTGGGATGCCTCAGGGCTGTGTTTTGGGTCCTCTGCTTTATACTTTTACACATATGATTGCATCCCTGTCCACCACAGCAATATCATTACCAAATCTGCAAATGATATGAGTGGTGGGGCTTATTTCTGAAGGGGATGAGTCTGCCTATCGGAATGAGGTGGATGGCCTGCTCTTGTGGTACAGGGACAATAACTTGGTTTTTAACATCAATAGAACCAAGGAGCTCATAGTGATCTACAGAAAGAATAGATGCAAAATTCAGCCCTTGGTCATAAATGGAGACCAAGTGGAACAGGTGGCCAATTTTAAGTTCCTGGGTATCACTGTTAAGGGGGATCTGACCTAGGGCATTAATACAGCAGCAGATTGTACAATTTGAGACTTCTGAGGAATCAACAACTGAATGAAAAAACCACTGTGTTATAGGGAGTGTCCTAACCTGCATCTGCACATGGTTTGGTAACTGCACAGGGGCAGATAGGAATATGCTCCAAAGGGTCACCACTACTGTACAGAGAATCATTGGTTGCCCTCTCCCCTCTTTGGAAGGACTTTGTAAGCCCTGCAGCCTTAAGAAAGCTCAGAACTTCCTTAAGGATCCACCTTGCCCAGCATATTCTTTTTTATTCTTATTATTATGACCATCTGGCAGATGGTACAGGGTGACAAAGACAAGGACAAAAAGACTGAGAGATAGCTTTTTATCTTAGAGCTGTATATGTATTGGTGAAACTCCATGGTTTCACATTGATGGCATTGGGGGCTGTGTGGTGGTGGTTGGAGTGTGGAGGGATGGGTGTGTTGATTTTGTGATGTGTGCTGGGGAAAGCATTTAATTTTGTTGTACAATGTACAAGGACAATAAAGCTATTCTATTCTAGCCAAAAACTCAGTGAAGACTTTTAGGTGGAAATGTGAGTGATTAATAATCAATCAATAAATGGGCACAAACTGCTATTTCAGATATCATTGAAGATGCTTCATTTGAATGTTCTTCATTAATGTGTTTTTAAGTAATAACTCTTTTTCAATGAACATCTAGGCTGTGGCACCATTGGGCTTATTTGAGCCCATTAAACCCAGATTTTAAGTGCTTTGGTTTTATTTTGTTTTGTGGCCATTTCAATTGATATGTAAATCTGAAGAGTTTGGCTAAATTTTGAGGATTTGGAAACCCTCCCTCAGGTTCCTGCTTGTTAGTCTGGAATGAGCAATGTCTGGAAATAGAATCATTCATTAGACACATCATTTAGACATAGCTTATTAAATAATTAAAATAAATAAAACCTTGGACTTGTACATAGTGTTATAGTTTCATTACATGTCTTTATCAAGCCAAACCATGACTGTGCTTTTCCCTAGAAGATTAGTTGAAATGGAAAACAAAATAATAAAAGCATTACTAAGCATTTTGAATTGGTATCTAATTGATCTGAACTATTTTACTGTGCTTGATTGCATTACCTATTCACGGACAGTACAAACTATATTCCGCTGCCCTAGTAAGAACGAAATAATCATGAAATTTAAAACGGATTTGGAAAGGTATAGAAAAGTTGTTTTTTGCAGGAATAGATTCAGAATAAAAGCATGCACTGTAACTTAAAATAATAAAGCACAACAAGGCACAATAGCGTTGGTCACTGGTTTTTAAAAGTATGCTTTCCTGCTAGTGCCTGCTGAGCAGCAAAATCTTACTTTGCCCTCCCCAGCAGACTCAGGGAAACACAGACTCTTGCACTCTCTCCTAGCTTGTGTGTTCTTCCTCATTCTTTGCCATCTTGACTACATTCTGATGTTGCTTGGCCACAGAGTTTTCATCTGTGAAATGACAGAATGCATAGAATCAGGGAGAGATCAAAGCCGGCAGGAAGAAAGAGATTGAGGACTGAAATGGCTGGCAAAAAAAGAAAGAAAATGAGAAAGAAGGTGTTAGTGACCTGCCTGACAGAGGAGAAATGAATGGGTTGCGATAACAGGAAGCAATTTGGGGGTAAATACAGGGGAAAGGAATCTGTTTTAGAGAGAAATAAATTGGTTTGATATTTTAAATGGGAGCACTGTTGTGACAGAAAATGATGTTCATAATAGTGTTTTTTGTGTTTTGGGACTAGAGCCCATTTCCACCATGTACTTGAAGCTGTATTATATAGTCAGTGTAGTTGAGGCCCAAGATGAACATAACTTACTTACATACTTAGACGATCCTTTGTTGTCTGAGTATGATGGCCTTCCAAGTGTAGTGTCTTGGCAATGGATACGTAGGTGGCTGTGGAGCCCTATTCTTTATCTGCATGTTCTTCCACAGTGAGGACATCAGTTTCCAGGTGGAAGGTGGTCCTGGTCAAGGTTGGCTTGACACGCCTTCCTCTTGGCACGTTTCTCCCTTTCACCCTCCATTTGTGCCTCTTCGAATTCTGCAGCACTTCAGGTCACAGCTGACCTCCTGTTAGAGTGTTCAAGGGCCAGGGCTTTCCAGTTCTCGGTGTCTATGTCACAGTTTTTAGGGTTAGCTTTAAGCCCATCTTTAAATCTCTTTTCCTGACCACCAACATTCCTTGGTTGACGGTGATGGGACATTCCGATGACAGTCCACGTTTTGCAGAGGAGAGGTGGCTGCCAAGGCTTATAGGTCTTCTTTTGAATGCGCACAGACTACTTTATCATCAGCATATTGGAGTTCTATAACAGATGTTGTTGTGGCCTTGGTTTTAGCTTTCAGTCTGCTAAGGTTAAATAGTTGGCCATCTATCCAATAGTTGATTTTCACTCCAGTGAAAATCGTCATTGCTATGATACTTCACCTTGTTGATGGGAAGCTTTCCAACAGAGTGGAAATTGTCTATGAACATAACTATTTCAGCATAAAAGTGTCACATATAGAATTTACGCAGCATGCCTCCCACTGTTAATTTAACAACAGCAATATTTGTGATACTGATATTTGAATCATTTTTCTAAATAGAAATTAAATGCACAATTTCCATTGTGTATTTCACAGCTGCATTTGGGCCTTTCTACTCTTCACCTATGATATGCTGCTGTGTCTCTGGTCATGTATACTTAAAAATTCAATAAACATTATTTTTTTTAAAAAAATACACAACTTTAGCTGTGTAGATTTTCTTGGTTATACTAAGACTGGATCTACACTGCCCTATCTCCCAGATTATTCCAGATTATTTGGTAATGTAGATTCATATAATCTGATTCTAAGCAGATCATATCCTGGGATATAGGACAGTGATATGGATATATTACTGGTAAGTGTTTGTTGTTGTTGTTCAGGGCAGATGAGACATATGCTAACATCTTACAGATGATAGTAAAAGTAAATACAACTGGCTTCTTTTGTAAGTTCTTCTTAGCTGCAGTAGACTTTGCAAGTACATAAATACAAAAATTGAAAAGAAAATGCTTGGCAACAAAAAAATCTTCAGTTACTTGATCCCTAGAGATCATCTAATTTGTGTGTGTTCATGAGAAATAGCGCAGAAAATTCCCACAGTTTGTACTTAAAAGTGCTTTGAAAGTTCTTGATTTTTCCCCCTCAAGAGAAGCCAAAAAAAAAAAGTCTGGCTTTACATGTTATCTTAACAGATCATACAACACTTAACAAAGAAAGTGGTATATACATTGGCTACTTAGTGGTACTCCTCATTTACACAAAACCTTTGATAAGCAATCTTTGATAAAGAGCCTGAGCCATGATGGGTGGACAAGCCTTTTCTGCCACTATTCCTTGAATTTTCATCACTAAGGTGGTGACACCATGAAAGATAAGCATCCCTTTCAGAAGGGAATAGGAAATTGCCCCCAGTTTTGCCTCTTTCTGGGTTCATTGTCAAAGACATTTAACTAGCTATCTCTATGGCACCTGAGCATACATAAAGTACTTTCTCGGCTCCTTCGTATCATATATCCCTTGTCAGCAGTCAGTTGGTAGGCTTCCCTTCTCCTCTATCTCTTCCTCCTCATGCTCTTAGGTGCATGCACACTGTAATGTGTTTCTTTTTTGAATATACAGCTGCCATCTCTTATTAAAATATCTTCTTTGGAAAAAAAGTTATTCATCTTACTGGTACTTTCTCTTACTTAAAATACTTTTATTGTTCTTTTCCTTCTAGGCTGTACTGAGTCCTCTCATAGCAATTGCACTGAAAATATCTCAGATTCACGAGAGGACAGGTCGTAAAGGCCCTACGGTCATCACTTGAAGCACAGGAAGATCAATAACCAGGGCCAAGATTAACAGGACGAGAGAAAGAAGACGTTGTTACAACACATCAGCTGTTTGTGCCTTACATTATTTTAAGAGTTTGAGAGCAATTGGGGGGACACAAAATTAAATGCTGATCGTATTTGGTTTTATTCTTCTGCTAAGACAGTAATGCATTTATGTCCATACTATGGCTTCATTATATTCTTATACACAAAATTAACCAAAGAGAAAAAAAGCTTCCTGTATATCTATTCTAATATTATGTTCTGTCAGCTACATTCTCCCCTTTTGGGACTTTGTTACAATTTGCAGTTTCTTGGTGATAGTACTTTAGGATCTCAATTGTAATTCAAATGTAAGTTTGAAATTGTGAAAATAATGCTTTCAAAAAGGTTGGAAATAGAAGAAATTCTGTACCATATTGTTACCAAATTTACTTTTGATTCTAAGTGGCTGTCATGGTGGAGCAGAATCATAGTCACTCCAGCAAAAATGTAGAGTTCATTTCTTAAGAGGCTGCCTAAAAGGTAAAGGTAAAGGTGTTCCCCTGACATTCAGTCTAGTCGTGTCCGACTCTGGAGGTTGGTGCTCATCTCCATTTCTAAGTCAAAGAGCCGGCATTGTCGATAGACACCTCCAAGGTCATGTGGCCAGCATGACTGAATGGAGCACTGTTACCTTCCCGCAAAAGCGGTACCTATTGATCTGCTAGGTTGGCAGAAGCTGGACCTACCAGCAGGAGCTCCCCCCGCTCCCCCAATTAGAACTGCCAAACTTTCGGTCAGCAAGTTCAGCACCTCAGCGGTTTAACCTGCCTGAGAGGTTGCCTATACCACCCAAAATACCACAGACGTTTCCTTAATATTAAAAGCCATACTAGGCTGTCAAAGCAATACAGCTCAGGTAAAAAAAATTGCAAGGAAGAGTAATATAACTTCTACTAGTTCTGGTTATGTCACTTGATCCTCTGCATGTTTAATTAGTATCAAACTCACCAAGTTCAGTGGATTTTTTTTTCTAAATCCATGCAGTGAAGCTTTATAATGAGATCATGATTTCCAAAGCATATTGGCAACAGCCATGCTTAAGCATCTAGTCAAACTTACACAAATAATAAAGGCTGTTTTCTGTACCACCTAAATCCTGGCATCTACTATTTTCTTGCATACTTTATAATAAGATTTCACCATATAAGAAGACATTTTAAATCACCATGCAGCCAATTCTTTGGCAATCAGTTTCTATTTTCTGCTTTTGTATGCTGTATTACTGACATATCCACCACCAGCACAAATGCTCTACACATGTGGCCTCCTTGCTTGCAGTGAAAATATGCAGTGGGTTTTTCCCCCACTTAACCCCTTTCTGAATCTTGTTTTTGTACAGTTTTAATTTAAAAGAGCTATCTATTTTATTATAGGCAATGTTACAGGAGAAGTCCTTTTAGTATTGAGCGCCTTCAGCTGCTTTGGTAGAGAGCCGTGCCTTTTGTTAATTTAACTCTTTTTGGAGGGAGGCGGCCTTGACTATCCCCCGTTCTAAAAATCCAAAAGTGGTGTTACGAATTTGGGGTCAGAGCCTTAACAAATGGTATCTTGGCATGAACTTGTGCTCCACTTCTTTGAGATGCTTGGCCATGGCAGGCTCAGGCTTTTCTATTGGAAGTGTTCCATGGCTCTGTTAGAAAGCTAAACTGTGAATTCAGAAAAATATGCCAGAAAAAGCCTCCCTGTGGAGTGTTTATTTATCACACAACTTTTTCACCAGGAGGCAGAGTGTTAAATGGCACTGCCCTCTGTTTCCTTAAGCACATGGCAACTCAGTGCTAACTTTTAGTGATATTTCAAGCATTTTTTGAGTTCACAGGTTGATAGTTAAGAGATGATGATCCATTTACAGCTATAGTGTGGGAGGGGGAGGGGTCTTTTAAGATGAGTCCAACAAATAGGGGTCAACATCACTAGAATAAATGGCCAGCACAGAAGTATGTGGCACTTTCTTTAGGTTGTTTCCACATCATTCTAGAAAGAATTGTGGGACAATCAGTGAAGATCCTAAACTTTTTCCATCCACTTACAACACCACAGTAGTCTGGTTCCTTTCTTTTCACACCTTCAAGGGGATGGGTCAGAAATGGTCAGCAGTCTGTAGCCTTTAAGAGGCTTCATTTTGAGTGCATTAATTAACCAGCGAAATGCATTAACCTTTTCATTTTCATATAACTTTGGTTAAAGGAACTTCAACCTTGCTGTGACAGAAAGAGGTGCTGTGCCTCTTGAGTGTTTTCATTGGAGAGTGGAGTCTAGGCAGCTAACAATATAAAAGGTGCCTGTGAAAGTATAATTAATGTAATGACATTTCAAAAATATTTTTCTAATTCACTCAGAAAGCCTACCAGATACCTTATCAGAAGGTCATAGAATGAGTCGTCATTGAACAAATGAAATCGAGAGGAGAAAAGGTGGCTCAGTGAATGCCTGGGCACAGCAAATGGTGCTTATGCCTCTGAAGGAATGGTTTGGTTCCAACGATGGCACAGGGCACTGACACAATGAGAACTCCTTGTGCATGTGACTTATTTGAAAGCTATTCTTCCTTGGGAACAGCATTTGTGCAATCCGACATGTGTAGCATTGCAGCGTCTATTGCGGTGGCCAAATACTTTTTTTTCCTTTTAAGTGCAATCATCCAATAGCCTTTTGCTTTAAGAAACCGATCTGGTTTCCTTTTGAGATTGGTTGAAATTTGCTATGACATGTAGTAGTACAATGCAGTGTCATACTTCTGCCTTGCATGAAATTGCTAATGATCGGATATGGCATACCCTAATAAAACAAGACTTTTAAAAACGTGTGTCTAAATAAATGGCGCACCGAGCATTTCTTCACTTCTAAGAGCATAGTGTTTTGCTGCTATTTTATTAAACAACTTTTTTTTCTGTAAATCAAAATGGGTTTTCTGGGTCATTTTTATATAATGCTAGTACATGCACACACATGTCCACACACAGAGCAGCTGATTTGTAGTCCGCATGATCTTCCTTTTCTAAGGCTGGATCTACACTGCCATATAATTCAGTTTCAAAATGCAGATTAACTGCTTTGAACTGGATTATATGAACCTACACTGCCATATAATTCAGTCCAGTGCATTCAGAAAGTGGATTATATGGCAATGTAGATGGGGCCTCAGAAGAGGTACCCCAGTCTCACTAGTTGTTATTGGCCTTATTATGATGACAAGGGACAAAAAAAAGCTGAACACTGAATAAAACTTTGGAGACCTTCATAACTTTTTCAAAAATTAAACTATGTAGTATTCTTAACTTGTCATGGGTTTTTAACCATTGTTTTGCTGCTGCTTCTTTTTTTTATGTGTGTGTCAGGAGTGACTTTAGAAACTGCAAATCACTTCTGGTGTGAGAGAATTGGCCGTCTGCAAGGACATTGCCCAGGGGACACCCGGATGTTTTACCATCCTGTGGGAGGCTTCTCTCATGTCCCTGCATGAGAAACTGGAGCTCACAGACGGGAGCCCACCCTACTCCCTGGATTTGAACTGTCCTGCCAGCACAAGGGTTTGACCCATTGCGCTACCAGGGGCTCCTCGCTGCTTCTTTAAGGAACCAATTCAGGGACTAAGTATTGTATATTGTTTCCTCTTTTTTACAAGGTATATTGCTTTGGCTCAAGGCATGAAATCATCAAACTGGAATGCTGTAAAATGCTTGGACCCTTGAAAATGCTCCAAACAGTGGATGTTGGTGTCAGTCAGTCCATGCATCATAACCAGCTCCATGGTTGGATGCAGAGGATAAACAAGATGAGTGGACGGTTCATTGAACCAAAGCAAAGTCATGACTGTGTTCCCAGGGTTTACTTTAGGAATCCTGTTCTTCCATGCATTCTAATTTTCTCAGAAACTGAGTAGGGAGGGTTCCAAGGTACATAAAAATCTCAAGGCAAGTTTCCAAAAAAGGAATCTGCATCCAAAGTTTTGCTTTTAAACAATCTTGCATATTGCTGTGAACATAAGGCATTCATGCACCATGTGAACTGCAGTTCAAGAACCCCCCTATATCAAAAGCTGTTTTTGTTCTGCACCTTAGATAGATAGAGAAGGGCTCCTTATTTTAGGAAGTGCATTCCACAGGTTTCTTAGGCAAAAGTAGTTTTACAGTTCATTCATTTCTGGCCAAAGTAATGATTTTTTAAAATGTAATAATCAAGGATGTTGTAATTAACAATATAGCTTAGGACCAAATTTGTTAGGACAGCCAGGCCTTGAAACTGCAGGCCATTAAATGATAATCAAGGTGGCAAATTGCAACATTCACACGTACCTCAAGCAGACAAGAGTTCTTTCTCCCACTCTGGACATTCCACAGATATATAAACCTCACTTAGTTTCCAACAGACCGCTCAACCTCTGAGGATGCCTGACATAGATGTGGGCTTCTGGAACATGGCCATACAGCCTGGAAATCCCATAGCAACCCATTTGTTAGGTTTGCTGTTGAGGATTGCAGCATAAGAACTGTGCTCAGATCTAATGTTTACTGGGAATATTGCTGGCTCTTAATATAACCTAATTTATCATACTGACTTAAGGATATATAAAATGAATAATTTAATTTTATATTGATTACTGCTATATAGAAAATAGTAAGATGATTGATCTGGAGTAAAACTCTCCAGAAAAATGCTTCAATTCTTCTGCACAGGAATGTTGAGAAAAGTAAGGAAACCTTGAATTCAATACTTTTCAAGGCTCCCAACAAAGGATTCCTCTGGGCAGGAAGCAGCCAGGCTTTGAAGCTGATAGGCTATTCAGTGCTAATCAAGCTGGTCAATTGCACATTCACACTTGCCTCAAACAGACAAGAGTTCTTTCTCCCACCCTGAACATTCCACAGATATATAAATCCCACTTGCCTAGTTTCCAACAGACCTCACAACCTCTGCCATAGATGTGGGTCAAATGTCAGGAGAGAATGCTTCTAGAACATGGCCATACAGCCTGGAAAACTCACATAGGCCCAAACCTTGAATTTCTTGAAAAAATTTAAAATGTGGGAAGAAGAGTCCTCATATGATAATGATGCAAGAAAAAAAAGTATTACAAGGATATACCTTTTGCGGGACTTCCCTTTTGTAGGATTTTTTTGTTCAACCATGAAGCACCCTGTTCAATTCTAATGCACTACATTCAGTGTTGGATCTTCTTTGGTGTATAATACAGAAACAAATGTTAATCTGCTTTCTTAAAAACACTAAGTTTCTCTGAAACAGTTTTCAATACAAAACTTTATTATAAGAAAGTGCAATGCAGTATGTAAACCAAATAGTTTCAGAACAGAGTATAAACACAAAATAACTGGCTGTTAGATTACATTACAAAATGCGGTTAGATAATTCATGAAAAGAATTCCTGTCCCTCTGTTAGCGATTACTAACCAAAAACAAAGGAAGTGGATGTCAAAACTCCACGGGATACGTAAACAGAGAACACATATGGACTTCAGATGCATCAATGCTGGTAATCCTATATTTCAAATGTCTTAAGAGCTCCATGTCTAGTTGGGTGACATTTATCAAGTTCGATATACATATACATTTATCAAGTTGAGTCTGACATTGGTAACTGGGTACATAATGGAAAATGACATTATTAATACCAACATTTTTTTCAAAAGAAAGACTATTCAAAGAATTGCTCTCACCATCACATTTAATCCTAAACAATACCTTCTCCACATGTTGTGTCACTGAGAGCCACCATATATATCAGGTATGGGCAAACCCGGACCCAGGAACCAGATGTGGCTCCTTGGGCTCTTTTCTCTGGCCCTCCTCTCACCATCAAATCCTTCCCTCCCTCCCTCCCTTCCTTATCTCCCTCCTTCCTCCCCTTGTGCTCTTTCATCCTTCCTTCCCTCTTTCCTCCCTCCTTCTCTCACTCTCTTTCTCCTTCCTTCCTTCCTTCCTTCCTTCCTTTTTGTCTTTCCTTCCTTCTCTCTTCCCTCCCTCCCATCCATCCATCTATCCATCTATCCTTCTCTTCCTCCCTTCCTTCTCTTTAGCTGGGAGAAGAAAAAGTAGAGAGTGAACACGAGAACCATGTTTCAAGATTTAAAAGGGTGTCCCATTGAGGAGGAGGAGAGGGAGAACTGTTTTTCTGCTGCTCTAGAGACCAGGGCACAAGGGAGCAATGGTTTCAAATGGCAGGGAAAGAGATTCAACTGAAAAGATTAGGAAGAACTTCCTGGAGAGCAGCATAGGCTGCCTTGGAGTATGGTGGAGTCTCCTTCTCTGGAGCTTTTCCCGCAGAGGCTGTCTATCAGGAGTGCTTTGATTATGCCTTCCTGCATGGCAGGGGGTTGGACAGGATGGCCCTTGGGGGTGTCTTCCAGCTCTAGGATTCTATATCAGGAGTAGGCAATACAGGGTCTAATGGGTACACTTTTTAGTTCCTGCCAACCATCTCATTCTGACCAAGACTAACCCTTTTGGGATCCAAATGTTTTCTATCTTTCCTTCACTTTCTGCCTCCAAAAGAGAAGAGGAAGGGGCAGGGAGGGGACTTGGGGAGAACCCCTTTCTTCCCAGCCCACCATGCGACCCCCAAGTTGTCCATGCCTGATATATATGTATTGCACAAAAATGCCACACAATAATTAAATACAAACTAAAGCCAATCCACAACCTAAACATTCTGTATCCATGTTGCTTGGCTTTATCTGTATATATTTTAGTGGAATCACTTGTGTTTAAATCCAAATCTTTGTTTACCTGAGCTGTAAAATTAGCCTGCCTGGTACAATCAAGGCTTAGTCTTATTTAATCAACACAATTGGCTCTCTGTTGCAAGATGTATTTACCCTTTTGTACGCAGAAATACTTGCAAAGCAATTAAGGCAGCTCAAGAGTTTATCTTTGGAAAAATGCCTCCCGTCCTCTTCGTAAATGCCGAGGGAAGGATAAAGTTCTTCCCTACAGCAATAGCATAACTGATCTCACTAAGTACGTCTGTGTGTATGTGCTTCCGTCACTCATCATTAGGATCTCTTTTTTTCATTCTCTAGGTCTTAACATTCACTGCTCTGCTCTTTGGAAAATGGTACTAGTTCTTGTTACCTTTTCTTAAGGCAGGCAGAGTGAAGCAAGCCACGACAGTGTAAACAAGCCTATCCAAAGCAGGCAGCAATACTGTTTTTAACCCAGTGACATCAGTCATAGCCTTAGCAACACCAGGCTGTATTCCTGGTTGAAATTGCCACATGATTTCTGAAATAACCTTTCTAATTGCAACTCTGCCAGTCACTGAGTGCTACCCAAAGGGCTCTCTTGGCACTTCATGCACACTGAGAGAGGAGACCTGTCCTCTTCAACAGCACTTTGCACACAATGCCATGGCCGTGGACTGTTCGCCAGAACAACAGACATTATTTCATGTCCTCCTCAAGCCCTCATTAGCAGCTGGTCTCTGACCCAGGTGCATTAGGAATCTCTTCCTCAGTCGAATCAGGCTCAGCAGCTTGATGCCTCTGGGATGCTTCATACGAAGGCGGCTGTTCGTCCTGCACACTCACTTCTTCAATAAATTCAAGGCTGCTCTCTGTGTACAGAGGGGGAGGTATATTGTAAGGCTCCTTTTCTCTTTCCAGTGGGTTGATTGGCAGTGGATATGTCTGTTTTTCAGGATCAGTGCTGTCCTCATAAGATGGAGGGTAGAAGTCAGGCCTGAAAGTGACACAAGATAAAAACACAAATTGTTGGAATGGATGACAACAGATCTGCTTTGGATTTGAGTTCCTGTATATGGCCACCACATTCTCCTTTCTCTTCAAAATTCAAACAGCAATACAGAGGAAGACGTCTTGTATTGAGAGACTATTAAATCATTGATCTATCTAGACGAGGGGTTCTCAAACTTTTTAAACAGAGGGCCAGGTCACAGTCCAGTCGGACTATAATTTGAAAATATCTTATTTGTAGTGCAAAAAAACACTTAAAATACAATAATTAAAATAAAGAACAATTTCAACAAATATAAACTTATTAGTATTTCAATTGGAAGTGTGGACCTGCTTTTGGCTGATGAGATAGGATTGTTGTTGTTGTGTGCTTTCCAGTTGTCTCAGACAATGAGGGCTGGGTAAATGACCTTGGAGGGCCCGTATCCAGCCCTCGGGCCTTAGTTTGAGGACCCCTGATCTAGACCAGGCATCCTCAAACTGCGGCCCTCGAGCTGTTTGGGCCTTCAACTCTCAGAATTCCTGACAATCGAACAAGCTCATTAGGGCTTCTGAGAGTTGGAGGCCCAAACAGCTGGAGGGCCGCAGTTTGGGAATGCCTGATCTAGACCAGTCAACAAGTCTTGGGTTTCAAGCAGAATTGTTTGCTAGCCCCATCTAGAGCTCCTTGGTATTACTAGATGGTCTGTCTTCTAGGTGCTAGGAGGCATCTACATTGCACAATGAATGCAGTTGGGTGCCATTTTAACTATCAGGTCTCAATGTGATGGAATCATGGGAGTTGTAGTTTTACAAGGTCCTCAGCTTTTTCTGTCAAAGAGGGCTGATGCCTCACCAAACGATGCCTCCCACACTCTGTAGCATTGAGCCATGGCAGCTAAAGTGTTCAACTGCATTCATTCTGCTGTGTAGATGCACTTCTAAGTGGGTCTGAGTTTGCTTAGCTTCAAAAATCACAGAAGATAAGATATTTTCAGGCTAGTTTTCAGAGTTCCTCACTAATACATTCATTGATCTGAGAGCCAAGTATGGCCTACATTTATAGAAAGTTAGAAGGGCAGGTACAGTGCATTTGGGTAATAGTTTTTGTCCAAAGGCATTTACAACTCTCGTAAGGAGTTTTGATATGTCTGCCACTGACAGTGAGATAAGATTTGGAAAAGTTGTGCCCAGTTTTTCTATCCCTGTCTTCTATTAGAATCCTGCAGTCTGTCTAATCTGATTTATTGAGCAGTGCAGGCTACAAGCAGTCTCCGTGTCAAATATTTTTGCTTATCTAACTAGGGTCCATGTGGTGTTGTATTTATAGAGCTGCTACTTCGCCAATTGGGAGTGTTTATGATGCTGTTACCACAACAGAACAGGAAGTGACATTTGTATCCATGGCCCATTAACAAACTTTACCAGGCAAGAGGCCACTTTGACATCCAGAAACTCTTACTGTGAGAGCATCCACCTTCACTTCTAAGAATGGCTGAGACATTGACACAGAAGTATAAACAGCAGATGTGCAAATAAGAGTGAACAGCTCTAGCTTTTGTTGGACAATATGAAGTCTAGCATTTTAAGAGCCTAATTGAAAAAACCATCCAGAACCATATTGGAGTGTGTTTTAGAATCACAAGTGCTTTTCATATTAATCTGTTCATCATATTATACTATTAAGATACTTAAAAGACTACGATTCTACTTTAGAATGTACAATATTCTGGAATGATTTTAAACTAACTACTTTGCCACACAGAATCCTTCAATTGCTGCAATCTAGCTGATTAGGATGTGTGCCGCATTGTCATCAGCAATCTTTTAATCATCATTTCCATCATGAAGGTGTTTGCTTAATAAATGAAAGCAAACTGTATGTGCTCTCGCAGATTTATAGCTTCTTAAAATATTGCCAGTCAGGCATTGTTTTTTCACATTTTGAATGCTATGCTTCATCCGAAGAGCATGCCATAGTCTCCCTGTGCTCATAATAACTGAGAGTTAGTCATCTGAGAGTTAGTCATCTGAGCCACTTTTTCACTGGGCTGGAAACTTAATTTGATTTTTCTGTCTCAAAGCCCCATTGCTATAGCCCTGGACCTGCTCTTTGATTGATAAGATACTATCAGTAACAGAGAATGTTGTCCAGAAGTAGAGAAACCTGATTTTTAAAGGAGAATAATAAAATTAGATGAATCATTGAGAAAGTAAAGGTAAAGGTTTTCTCCTGACATTAAGTCTAGTCGTGTCTGACTCTGGGGATGATACTTATCTCCATTTATAAGCAAAAGAGCTGGCATTGTCCATAGACGCCTCCAAGGTCATGTGGCTGGAATGACTGCACGAAGCACCATTACTTTCCCACAGAAGCAGTACCTATTGATCTACTCACACTTGCATGTTTTTGAACTGCTAGGTTGGCAGAAGCTGGGGCTAACAACAGGAGCTCACCCCACTCCCCAGATTCAAACCTTTGACTTTTTGGTCAGCAAGTTCAGCAGCTCTGCGGTTTAACCCACTGCATCACCAGAGGCTCCAAATCATTAAATAAGCCCATTTTTGCCTGAATTGAACGATTTATAAAACATTCAAAAACAGAAAGGTAACTGCTATTGCAGTTATTGGCCTAAAAGTATTTTTTAACCTTTCTTAAAATGTTATGCTGCTGAAAGGAAGAATACGTTACACAAAAAGAAAAACACTATAAAATCTAAACATGGCTTTCTGGACTTTATATAGAATAAATGATATATTTCTCATTTGATATATTTCTCAAGGAATTTCTCATTCCTTGTTGTTTCCAGTTCAACAAGGAAAAATGTTAATTTGTTTCTTCACTTACTGAAACCTGCACTATGTCATTTTTTAAAATAAATAAATGGAAGGCAATGTTGGCTTTGCAACATTAAAGGCAAAGGTGCAAGTAAAGGAGCAGAATATATTGGGATCTTGATATAAGCCAATTGAGGGCCAATTTAATTTGATGGTCATGGCTAGTTTTTCACACTAATTTTAATAGTAAAACTAGTTTAGTCTGGATTGAGCCCACTCAATCAGGTTTCACTGGCATCTCCCACTAAAGGAAGTGTTGGAGGGATTCTCCTGCATTCCCATTTGCCATCTCCTGCATCATTCTAGGGAGCAGCAGTAGAGAATCCCATGAATAGAACTCAGTTTAAGATAAATGAAGTTGAAACAATTTATTGTACAAAGGTGTAAAAGCCATGAAATGAAAGAAACTTATTAAAATATCAGATTATTACCTTATTTCTTCAATTCCAGACATTATAATTTCAAAACCACTAACAGAAAAAGCTGTTTTTATAAATATGAAAAGCACTTGTGCTTCCAAGGCCTCATCACGCTAGAGAAAAATCCACTTAAAATCCAGTTTCTGCCTTCTGAAGAATTCTGGGGTTTGTAGTTTAGGGAGACCTCACTAAACTCACTAAACTATAAACGCCAGAATTCTGCAGGAGCCAGAAACCAGATTGTAAGTGGAGATGTCAAACACACCCCATTTTAGAGATGTTTATATGGAGGAATGCATCTTACAATTGAAGGAACAGAGGATAAAATACACTTTTCAGCCAAATTGACAAATATTGGATTAAATCAAGACAAAGAGAGAAGAGAATGGAGGACATAATAAGAAATGGTTGCATATTTTGATGTTTTTAGTGTTAGCCACTCTGGGTCTGTTTTTAGAGAGGAGGAGAAGGAGGAGGAGGAGGAGGAGTTGGCATCATCATCATGGGTTAGTCACTGATATAACTGAAGAGGTATTGGAATTAAAAACAGCAAAGACTCGGCAAATAAAATAAATGTAAGAAAAGGAAAGGAGATAGTGACGTGCAAGATGAAGAGCTGCACAGATTCAAAGACTGGAACCATGAGTTGAAACCCAGGAGACATACCTGTCTACTGTATTGATGTGGCTCTCCCGAATTCTAGGATGTCCAGGCAAAATGCTGTGAAATAGGCTTTTGTGCTTACTGGCCTCGTGATAAGTGCTCCAGAAAATCCCACAGATGAGAAGGAAGAACCCCAGGGGCAACAGAAAGTACGCAATAGGCATGTTATTGCACTTGCAGGCAGGGGCACCTGTAGAGATGCAAAAGGCTCCTAAGCAAATAATTAGGAAGCCTAGTAGGAGCACAAAGTAGCGGAGGAAGCAGAGGAAATTCTTTGACATCTTTGCAGTTGGCTCCAGTCAGTTATTCTCTCTCTCTCTCTCTCTCTCTCTCTCTCTCTCTCAGTGCTCTTTCCTGTCTAACTCCTTCAAGGCTTTTTATACACACGGAGAAAAATGCTCACTGGACACCTGTTCAGGTATTCATTAACCAGACGCATTAACCATTTGAAGCAGTCACAATATCTCAAGAGATTAATTTATAATCAAAACACTGCTGGGGAAAAGACAACACATACTTCCTGTATCGTTTCGCTGCCAGCATAAACTCTGCAAACTTTGTTGCCTGTGCTGCTGCTGCTGGCAGTTTGGACTGGAACAAAAGCGTAAAACTCTTCCCAGAATCTAGGCAGCTTTTCCCACAGGGTAGGCTTTTACCAGGAAAAGAAAAAAGACACATTAAAATTTGACATCTGAATGGTCTCAGTGTGTGCGTGCTAAAAGTTTTGGGACCTATCACACTGGGATATATTCCATTTTTGAGATGTGTTGAACGCGATTCCGAATGGATCCTATCACATGACGCTTGTTTCCATTCCACCAGTAATCCATTGGAATCAGTCTGCGAAATGTCGCAGAAATGGAGTAATTGCATATGGGATTCTAATCGTGTTTTTTAACAAAATAATAATAATAGTATGGTTTTAACATGCTGTTTTCATCTGTGATCATAAAGTTAGTATGAATTCTATCAGGTAAAATCTTGTGAGAATGGTAGTTCAAGACTTCCAGGCTACATTATAAATATTTTTTAAAGTGATGTAGTGAGGTATTTTAATGGATTGAGAGAAGCCAGACTTCCATGATGTGATGAATCAAAGTGTGGTATTTTTTAAAAGTAAAAATTGGCTGTGATTGGGTCAGTATGCATCTCATCTGAATACAATCCTTAAAAATATGGGATGCATAAATTGTGTATATCCCAATGTGATAAGGTTCTAGGTTTTTTTAAAAAAGGAAATCCCATTGGTCCCTCCTTTTTTATTTCATAGTCTATTACAGGCATGGGCAAACTTTGGCCCTTCAGGTGTTTTATTCATTACAGGAAAAGCCATTTAGAATCATAGAATCAGAGTTGGAAGAGATCACATGGGCCATCTAGTCCAACCCCCTGCCATGCAGGAAAAGCAAAATATCCAGCCTCTGCTTAAAAGCCTCCAAAGAAAGAGCTTCCACCATACTCCAAGGCAGAGAGTTCCACTGTTGAACAGCTTTTTTAGTCAGGAAGTTTGTTCAGGTGGAATCTCCTTTCCTGAAATGTGAGCCCATTGCTCTGAGTCTTAGTTTCCAGGGCAACAGACAACAAGCCTGCTCACTCTTCCTTATGTCATCCTTTCAAATATTTATACATGCCTATCATGTCTCCTCTCAACTTCTTTTCTGCAGGCTAAACATACCCAGCTCTTTGAGCCACTCCTCATAGGGCGTGATCTCCAATATTTGATCATTTTAGTCACCCTCCTCTGGACACGTTCCAGCTTGTCAATATCTCTCTTAAATTGTGGTGCCCAGAATTGCACACAATATTCCAGGTGAGATCTGACCAAAGCAGAATGGGGAGGCACCATGACTTCCCTTGATCTCAACACTATACTCTTTTTTGATGCAGCCCAAAATCTCATTCGCTCTTTTTTTAGCTGCTGCATCACACTGTTGGCTCATATTCAACTTGTTATATACTGAGACTGCAAGATCTTTTTCACATGGACTGTTGTCAAGCCAGACATCACCCATCCTGCATCTGTGCATTTTATTTTTTTTCTGCTTAAGTACAATATCTTATACTTCTTTTTGTTGAAATTCATTTTGTTCCTTTTGGCCAATCAGCTCTCTAATCTGTAAAGGTGCTTTTGAATTCTGATCCTGTCTTCTGAAGTATTAGCTATTCCACCTAATTTAGGGTCACCTGCAAACTTGATCGGTATGCCCTCTAAAACTTCATTTAAGCCATTAATAAAGATGTTGAACAGTACTGGGCCCAGGACTGAATCCTGCAGCATTCCACTAGTCACTTCTTTCCAGGATGAAGAGGAACCATTGGTGAGCACCCTTTGGGTTTGGTCACTTAACTAATTCCAAATACACCTAACAGTAGTATTGTCTCATCTACTACTAAATGCTCTTATTGTTGCCAGCCTAGCATTTGGGTCCATTTTATTGACAGTACTTCAATCTCGAAAGCAAAAGCCCCTCTAGAAAAAACTTGCTGCTTAAGTCTACAGACACAAATGGTTCCACAGCAACATTGTTCCTTGGTGGTCACTTTCTAATGCAGCTATCATCCTATTCACATTCTCTTCCAGCAGATGAGAAATACACACAAATCAGGGTCACTGGGTTGAAATAACATATATTACCCAACTGCCAGTCCAACTGTAAAACCTGTTATAAATCACCCTCATCCTAGCTCTGCCAATGTTCGTTCCACTGTTCTCACTTCTCTCTGTGCCGACTTATGAATGACGCAGAGTGTCTGTCTATAAAGTTGTCAAGGGCACAGGAATGCGCTCAATGTCGTAAAAGAACAGCAAATGTATGCAAGAGAACACCACCTTCAGTGACGTCAGTAGAGAAAAATACTCTTAGGAGTTGCAGTCAGTTTTAAAATTACTGTCCTCTCGCACCACAGATGACAATTAAAAGATACAGTAATGATAAATTAAAAAGATATTACTTTATTTTCTAAATAGCTGCAGTTAACCAAGGCAAAGTCTTTTAAACTCTAGATATGCTTTGAGCTTACCAAAGAATTGGAAGTAGCAGGCAAAATTTTGACTGTAACTTCCCAGAATTCCTGTTGGCACATGCAGAGTGGGAAATCTTGGGGACTGTTATTCAGAAAACTTTCTGTACACTGAGAAAAGGGAGCTAATTGCAGGGGACAAATATCTGGCAAAATGCTTAACCCTGATTTCTCCTCCAAAACTCCCTGCAATCTCCCCCTCTCCCAGGTCTGAAATTTGAAACAACAGTGAGGGCTGCCAAGGACTTGCTTCCAGAAAAACTGATTGTGACTGCAAGTGGATCAGAATCAGGAGTGTGGTCCAAATGGAGTAGGGGTTAAGACCTGAAGTAGCAACATAAAATCAATGAGAAAGAGAAATTGTTGCTTCATCAAATGTGTTTTGTCAAAGTAGCAGTGCAAGCCATACACACATACACATACATATGGAAGAGAAAGCTGACAACTGTATAGACAACAAATTATCTTGGTCCTGCTAAAATTTAAAATGGTATAGACACAGCTATCAGAATTTTACTAACCAAAGGGACGAAGCCAATTCAAAACTTTCTACAGGTCCTACTGCAATATTACTGAAATATGGGGCATCTATTCTGCATAAATTGCCAAGTGTTTTTTTTTTTTGGTAATGGCAACTTTTGAAACCTCCTTCCCATAGTAACTTATGGAGAAAGGTTTGCTTACTGATTGTATGCCAATTTCTTTAATTTATTTAAATGACTTTGGCTAGTATTGTGATTTTGGTATTTCTTGCTGTGGGGTTTGTTCTTCTTCTTGTAATTATGTTGTCTAGCCACAAGACCCCCCCCCCCCCAAAAAAAAGATCTTCCACAATAAATATATTATTTTTATTAATTTTTAAAATACTTTTTTGATCTTTTGCTATTTTAAAACATCAGAGACTGAGAATGGACCACTGACAGCTTCACGGCCAGAAAAACTTTATCATTCTAACTCCTTAATACATTTTATCTATTTTTCTTGTCTTTCTGTGTAAATCATATATTTTCATTACTGTATCTATTTCTTTTATATAAAATGTATAAACTTCTTAATGAAATGTAACAAGATGTAGCCCAGAGACAGTTACCTCTTCATAACCCCACTGAGGTATTTCCCTGATAACAAAAAGGTTGGGCAAATCCCTCTAGCTATTTCCCAACAGATAATCACCAAAAATCCATTGTTCATATATGCAAAGATAGGTAGCTCCCCGTGTCAGCCCAGATAAGTTTATAATTATTAACCTAGTTCAGCAGTTCTCAAAGTGTCCTCCGTGGAGCCCTTGAGGCTCTGCGAAGCATACTAAAGGGCTCCATACTTCCCTTCTCCCCCCTTCAAGCTTTTCATCCTCTTTCCTGCTCCTTCCCCCATCTCTCTCATCCCAAAAGCCTTTTTTCTTGCCTTCCTTGCTGCCCAGATCCTTTCCCCCCTCGCCTTCCTTGCTTCCAAAACCCTATTTCTCTCCCACTGCTCGGGGGAGTGCTTTGATTATGCTTTTCCTGTATGGCAGAAGGGGTTGGGCTAGAGGGGATCCACAAGAAACTTTTGCTTCAAAAAGTCTCTGCAGCTGAAACGGTTTGAGAACCCCTGGTCTAGTTAAATGGTCCACTTGAGGCAGAAAGATTGCTGACCTTGGAAATAAAGGCTCGTTGTATGTACATTAATTAAAAACGCTTTCTTGATAGCTCAGTCCTTGATTCCCAAGATTGCCTCAGGAGCTTCACACCTTTGTTATTAAGGAACTGGACAGTTGAGCTAATCAAAAGTTAGTTATCATTTCTTTGACATTGTCTTCGTGGATGACACTGCCTCCCGGGGGAGGGGGGGCGTCCCACCAGCCGATTGGTTCTCCAGCTGTCTAACGTCTGGCTATAATTTCCCTATGAAAAGGAATCCCCACCTGGAAGCAATGACATCATTGGAACTCCTGGGCAATCAGGGTGTGGATCCTAGCTGATCCCCTTTCTAACCCATCAGGGAAGGGAGCGGGAGTTGAATAGTTGAATAGCAGTCAAACTATATAAGATGTCTGGCTCTCTCTGTATGTTTTATGCTTCTATACTTTGAAGCATCTGCTTGTACTTGCATCTCTGAAATGAATAAACCTCTGTGACTTGTCTTGAACCTGGTAAGTGTTGTATTGTACCAATGCATTCAGTTTTGCTTGTATTTGCCAGGTACAGATCCTTTTAACCATGGTCCTCGTTAAACCACAACATTTATATAAAAGTTTTTGGAACAAGTAGCCTTAAAGTCAAAGGATGTCCTTGAGTTTTGCAAAGGTAAGTGGGACAAAAGTATCTCAGAGGGGGAAATGACATGCTTTAAAGAAATGGAGTAAAAAGAAAACATTGCTGGAGGAAAGCTATACTGA